GTGGGGGCTAGTGGTTACAGCGGGGGAGGGCGGCTGGGAGCCAGGACTCCTGGGTTCTCTTCCCAGCTCTGGGAGGTGAGCGGGGGCCAGTGGGTTAGAGCAGGGGGGAGGGGGAGGGGGCTAGGAGCCAGGACTCCTGGGTTCTCTTCCCAACTCTGGGAAGAGAGTGGGGGCTAGTGGTTAGAGCAGGGGGGGCTGGGAGCCAGGACTCCTGGGTTCTGTTCTGAGCTCTGGTTTATTTGATTCATACACTTTGAAAATGTCCTCGTAACCAGGTCAATATCGTCCAAAGACTCGATAGAATCAGCTACTCGTGCAACACCCAGTGAAATGCCGGTGTCCTGCCTGCTGGGCAATCCGGGTACATTTCCATGGCTTGTCCCTCACACTGGCAGGCTAGAGAGGCTGGATCCTGGTGGCTTTACCCTCCACCAAATCAACTCCTCCAAATATATGGCAGCTCCGAATCGCCGAGGGCTGGGATCGGCCGCACAGATGCACCCCAGGTGGTCGTCAGTTCCACGTGATAGGTGTGACCTCAGGCCCATCATGGACAGTGGCTAGAAAAGAAAAATAGCTGGATATTGATACCTTGCGGAGATGCAGCCAGCTCTGGGGTGGGGCAGCTGGGTAACAGACGCACAGCGGCATCACATGGGGATGGCTCGCCCAGCGCTGAGATGCAGCCACCTCTGGGGTGGGTCTTGGCTCCCCCCAGTGTCTGCTAAAGATAGGACGGTGACACTGCACCCCATATTCATCATAGTGGCATGATTATGACATAATAATGATGCATTTTGTACAAGATGTGTCATGTGAGGTGGCTATGAAAAAGTTATGATTTGCTGAATATGATTATCCTATTTTTAAGCCTGTATCATTTGTGCATCTGAATATTGACTGTGTAGCTGTATTTCAAATGGGCTTACTCTGGGTCACACCCACAACTAGCCTTCCAGGTACAACAATGTAGACGCTAGACAGTGCCGATGGCTCGTCAACAAAGACAATGGACCATGGAAGCGCGTAGCCTTCCTGCAAACGTTTCAGCCAGCCTATGAGTAATGGCTGCCAAGCCCCAGCAAGGACATGTGACCAGACCACATGACACTAAATTCCAGTTTGGTGCCTGTATTTTGCCAGAAACTGGGCTGGGAACTTAGCTTGAAACAAAGGGATTCCCGCCGTGTGGAGAGACTATATGAGGTGAGGAGTGACATCACGACTGGTCTTCACTCCCCCACAACTCAACACCGGAAAGAAGCTCTGGAAGACAAAGGACTTGGAATGGGAGAGGGGAACCGAGGCTGCCAGGCAGATGTGTGCCTTGTGCCTTAAGAATCTGCAAGCCTGCTCGTACCGTCAGTCAGGGTGAGATATGGCGAATTCAAATCCTATCGATCTAGTATAATACACTTAGCTTGCGTTTTTCTTTATTTGCCAGGTAATCTGCTTTGAGCTGTTCGCTGTCACTTATAATCCCTTAAAATCTCTCCTTCTGTAGTTAATGCACTTGTTTAAAGGTTTTATCTTAACCAGCGTGTCTTTATGTGAAGTGCCTGGGAAAATCTCAGCTTGGTGGACACAGGCTTGTTGTGCATATCTTTCCGACATCGAGGGGAAAGCAACCATATTAATGAGCTTGCATTGTACAGATCCCTGTGCAGTGCAAGACGGTATCATTCTGGGTTCATACACCAGCAAGGGTGCAGGGCTGGGGAGCTGGGAAATTGGCTCTTGTCTCCTGTATGTCCTTGAGGGGCTCAGGTAAAGCACTCAGGTAGCTTAGTGGGGTGCGTGGCGCCACCTGCTGTCGTGCTGGGTGATAACAGGGCCCGGAGAGGCTGACTGAGCCACCAGCGGAGCTGCATGAGAAGGGCCAGCCCAGTTAAATGGTTAGGGTCACAGCCGTTCCCACGGCTCCCAGACTGCAGCCCGGGGGTGACAACCCGTCACAAGGACAAGGGTGAGAAACCAGCCTGACCTGCTTGGATGGTCCCCAGCATTTCTTGCCAGGCCTCAAAGTCTAGCGAGTCTTTGAATTCCTCGAGACCCGGGTCCACAGCAACGATATCCCCATCGTCATCTTCATCTCCCTCCTCCTCCTCGCCGTTATCCTCATCTTCATCTCCCTCCTCCTCCTCGCTATTAGCCACATCCTCATCTTCATCTCCCTCCTCCTCCTCGCCATTAGCCACATCTTCATCTTCATCAATCCAATCATCATCATCGCCGCTGGACCCTTCGTCACTTGCACCGTGCTCTTCCTCCTCCCCACCGCGGCTCGACTGATCCTCCCGGACTCTACGGAGGGAGAAATATACTAAACCAGCCACCTGTGTGTGTGTACACACACCTCTCCCTCGGTATACGTACGGCTCTCTTCGCGTGTGCGCGCACATATGGATCTCTGTGTGTGCGGGCATATGTGTGTGTGACTCCGTGTGTGTGTGTGTGTGTACAGATCTCTGTGTGAGGGAATATGTGTGTGTGACTCCATGTGCAGTTGTGTGTGTACAGATCTCTGTGTGTGAGGTCAGATGTGAGTGTGACTCCATGTGCGATTGTGTGTGTGTGTCAGTAACACAAAGAGAGGAACACGCAGACCGAGTAGACCTAAAAAGAAGTGTGCATGTGGGGGGAGGAGACACACACTCACCTTCTCATCAGCTCCTTGATGCCCTAGATGCGCGAGAAAGTGACAGAATTAGCCCCTGGAACTACCCACCACAGTAACAAGCCGTGCCCCCTTGTGGGTGAGATACCAGCCCTATGGGGCAGTCCTTTCCCACCCCCCGTGCTCAGCCCCAATTCCCACCCCTGCGTCATCCAACCCCACCTGTCCCCAGCTGCTTTCCCTCCACACCCCTTCTGCTGCACGTTCCTCGCATCATACACCTGCCCATCTCCCCTAACCTGCTTCTGCCTCGACAGCCTGTTCCCCTCCCAGAGACTCCAGGAGTCCTGACTCCCAGCGCCCCCCGCTCTAACCCACTAGACCCCACTGCCATCCTGGAGCCAGAGATAGAACTCAGGAGTCCTGGCTCCCAGCGCCCCCCGCTCTAACCCACTAGACTCCACTGCTGTCCTGGAGCCGGGGATAGAACCCAGGAGTCCTGGCTCCCAGCCCCATTACACAATCTCCCATCCCATAGCTCCGTCATGCAGCACCTCCCCGTCTTGTTCCCATCTCCTGGCAGATGAAATCCCGCCTCACCCTGAGGAAGGCTATGTGATCTGAGGTGTCCAGCCCCGCCCGGGCCCTGGACAGGGTCTCGTTACGAAAGGTCACTTCTTCATCCAGCTCCCTCAGCCTCTCCTCCATCTCCACCCGGTTCTCCTCCTTCAGCCTCTCCACGGTCTCTTTCATGCCCTTCTCCTTCTCCTGCAGGATCTGATGGAGAACTCCAAACTCCTTGGCGATATACCCCAAGAGGTCTTGGGCGCAGCTCTGCAGAGGGCGGAGAAACCAGCGGGAGGTTCAAAACACATCACCCACCACGGAGCGTGTGCGGGAAGCAGGACGATCGGTGCCTCAGTTTCCCCAACTGTACAGCACTTCCTTACCTCATGGGGGGCTGGGAGGGAAATGGAGCGAGATGGGAATTTTTTTGACAAAATGTTTTTTATAGAAAAATTTGGAACAATCGAAACTGTGTGTGAAACAGGGTTTGGACACGACAAGTCTCCTAAACCAGGAAAAGTTTGGCAGGGAAGGTGAGCTAAAGGGCCAGGGCCTGTTAACTTAGGGACAGTCACGGATTCCTAACAATAATAATACCTAGCACTTTTCATCCTCAGATCTAGCCGCCCTGGACAAGTTTTCCTGGCTCTGCCAACCTCTGTGTCCGCTCCATAATCCTGAGTCTTGGCTACTGGCCCTTTGTTAACGAGCGCTGGTCACAAAACCAGACCGGTGGGAAAGGCTGATTTTTCAAAAGGGGGGTTTCCGAAGGAAGTCAGTGTCATAATCCCTGTCTGATGGGTAGGGAAACTGAGGCACAGATTGGGGCAATGACTGGCCCAAGGTCATCCAGTGGCCGAGCCAGGAATAGAACCCAGGTGTCCTGAATTCCTTGCCAGTGCTTGAACCATTAAGGTACGTGGCGTCGCTCTCCTAGGCCTATGTGCATGGTCCAGCCACTAGGAGGGGACAGCGAGGCCACACCGTAAACGTGGGTTAAAGCCTGACCCCATCTCAACCATACAAGGGGGCTCTTAGCAATACCTCCAGCTCTGCTATGTTCTCCTGCTGGTGGCGCTGGTCCTCAGTGGCTGAATTCAGATTGTCCTTCAGGGGTACGAGAGATGCCTTCAGCTTGTCCTGTGCAGCAGAGAAACCCACCCGTCAGCGAGGAGTTTTTACCCCTTCCTCACAGGTCAGGTTTTCTCAACCTTTGATCATTTTTGTTGCTCCCCTGTGGGCTCTCTCTCGTTTGTCCACATCTTTCCGGAAGTGCAGCGCCCAGAACTGCTGTCGTTCCTGGTTTTGCAGTCGTGCATTTGATTTTTTTCCTTCCTCGGTGTAGTACATTGCACGTGTCTTTACTGAATTGCATCTTGATTTCAGACCCATTCTCCAGTGACACAGCAAGGAGTCCCCCCTCAATGAACTGGCCACCCAGGGGATGTAATGAGACAGGAGCAGTGCAGGGGACAGAGTCTGGAAGTGTCCCCCAGCCTAGTTTGACCTACTTAGACCCCAAATTCCCCTCCCAGAACTGGGGATAGAACCCAGAAGTCCTGACTTCCAGCCTCTATCTTCTAACCCAGTAGATCCCACTCCCAGAGAACATAGGAGCCCTGGCTCCCAGCCCCCCTGTTCTAACCACTAGACCCCACTCCCCTCCCAGAGAACCCAGGCATCCTGGCTCTCAGCCCCTCCCCCACTCCAATCACTAGACTCCACTCCCCTCCCAGAGAACCCAGGCGTCCTGGATCTCAGCCTCCCCGCTCTAACCACTACACCCCACTCTCCTCTAAGGGAACCCAGGCATCCTGGGTCTCAGCCCTCCCACTCTAACCACTAGACCCCACTCCCACCCCAGAGAACCCAGGCATCCTGGCTCTCAGCCCCTCCCCCCACTCCAATCACTAGACCCCACTCCCCTCCCAGAGAACCCAGGCGTCCTGGCTCTCACGCCCCCCCCTCCAATCACTAGACCCCACTCCCCTCCCAGAGAACCCAGGCGTCCTGGCTCTCAGCCTCCCCGCTCTAACCATTACACCCCACTCTCCTCTCAGGGAACCCAGGCATCCTGGGTCTCAGCCCTCCCACTCTAACCACTAGACCCCACTCCCACCCCAGAGAACCCAGGCGTCCTGGCTCTCAGCCCCCCCACTCTAACCACTAGACCCCACTCCCACCCCCAGAGAACCCAGGCATCCTGGCTCTCAGCCCACCCACTCTAACCACTAGACCCCACTCCCAACCCAGAGAACCCAGGCGTCCTGGCTCTCAGCCCTCCTGCTCCAACCATTAGACCCCACTCCCCTCCCAGAGAACCCAGGCATCCTGGCTCTCAGCTCCCCCCTCCCCCCACTCTAACCACTACACCCACTCTCCTCTCAGGGAACCCAGGCATCCTGGGTCTCAGCCCTCCTGCTCCAACCATTAGACCCCACTCCCCTCCCAGAGAACCCAGGCGTCCTGGCCCTCACCTGATATTTCTGGACGGCGTTTTTGACGGGCAGGAAGTCGTGGCCGCGGTGCTGGGGCAGGTCCCGGCAGATCACGCAGATGGGCCCCTTGTCCTGGCTGCAGAAGAGTTTGAGGGGCTCCTCGTGCTCCGGGCAGATGGACCAGCCAGACCCGCCCCCGCCCGGCTGGACCCCCTCGTCCAGTCGCAGCAGCCGGGCTTTCTCCGCCAGGCTGCACAGGGCCCAGTTGGTGGCCGCGCTGCGCAGGGCGAAGGGGCGCCGGCACTCGGGGCACAGCCCGCGGCGCTGCCCCGTGGGGACGCAGGGCTCCAGGCAGGCGGCGCAGAAGCTGTGCCCGCACTCCAGCATGCGGGGGTCCCGGAACAGGGACAGGCAGATGGGGCACAGCAGGTCCTCGGCCAGGCTGGACACGTCCAGGGCAGACGCCATCGCCGCCCCGAACTGTCCCCGGGCCGGCCGGAGTCACAGGCTCCGGGGGTTTTGCTTTCGGTTCCCGCACACCCCGTACACACCCCGCCCGAGGAAAGGGAGAACCCGGCAGCTGTCACCGCCCAACACACTTCCGCGGGCCGGCCAAAGTTCAGCTTCTTTGCACGAGTCATACGCAATGCCCGGAGCTGGAGAGAGAACCCAGGAGTCCTGCCCCCGCCCCCCAGCTCTAACTCACTAGCCCCCCACTCCCTCCCCTCGCAGGGCTGGGGAGAGAACCCAGGAGTCCTGGTGTCACGGAGTGTGGGGGGGACACAAGGCCCTGCACCCCCGGCTTCCTGCGATTCACCCCAACGTTCAGCCAGTAAAGCAGAAGGTTTATTTAGACGACAGGAACACAGTCCAAGGCAGGTCTTGCAGGCACAGACAACAGGACCCCCCCCCAATTAGGTCCATCTGGGGGCCCCAGGGACACCACAGCCCCACTGGGGGTCAGAGCCCCGTCTGGGCTCCCCTCCATTCCACCAGCCAGCTCCTGAAACTCGCACTCTCCCAGGCGTCTCCTCCCCCCAGCCTTTGTCCAGTTTCCCGGGCAAAGGTGTCACCTGGCCTCCAAACTTCCTGGGTTCTCATGTTACATGTTCAGGTATCCTCCCTCAAGGCCAATCTCCCATCCCCCAATGCAGACCGTCCTAGCCAACCCCCCCTGCAACCTTCCCAGCCAACACTCCCCGCTCAGCATTCAAAGACCACATTAAGAACAGTCCAGGTTCGTCACACCTGGCTCTCAGCCCCACCCTGCTCTAACCACTGGACCCCACTCCCCTCCCAGAGCTGGGGAGAGAACCCAGGACTCCTGCCCCCAGCTCTAACCCACCAGCCCCCACTCCCCTCCCCGGGCTGGGGAAAGAACCCAGGAGTCCTGACTCCCAGCCCCCCTTGCTCTAACCACTGGACCTCACTCCCCTCCCAGAGCTGAGGAGAGAACCCAGGAGTCCTGGCTCCCAGCCCCCCCCATTCTAACCACTGGCCCCCACCCCCCTCCCACACCAGGGGAGAGAAACCAGAGACCTGGTTCCCAGCCCCCTGCTCTAACCACTAGACCCCACTCCCTTCCCAGAGCTGGGGAAAGAACCCAGGAGTCCTGGCTCCCAGCCCTCCCTGCTCTAACCATTAGACCCCACTCCCCTCCCAGGGCTGGGGAGAGAAACCAGGAGTCCGGGCTCACCTGCTCTACCCCCATCCAACCTCTCCCTAAACCAATATGTTCAGGGGGATGTGTGTGGGCGGGGGAGGGGGGACTTGCTTTCCTGTGTTTGTTTCCCCACTCCCCTCTTTTCAGTCTCTCTTCTCCACCCCACCCCCGTCTCCCCAGTTCCTGGCCTGCTCCCCAGCTCTGACCCAGGTCTTCCCCCCCTGCAGAAACTCTCATTTGTTCCTTTTCTTTCCTTCTGTCAGGGCCGGCCTTAGGGAAAATGCCACCCTGGGTGAACTTGTTTTTGGCACCCCTAGCCCGTGTGTGCGAGGCCCCTCCCCATTGCCCTGGCCCCTGTGGGTGCCCCCCCCATTGCCCCTGGCTCCTCACCTTCCCTTTGCCCCCTAACCCCTGCACCCCTAATCCCCGCACTTCCCCCTTCACCCTGGCACCGTGTCCCTAGCGCCCCTAACCCCTGTATTGTGCCCCCTGCATCTCTAACCCCTGCACCCCATCCTGTGCCCCTAATCTCTGCCTTCCCCCCTTTACCCCAACCCCTGCCCCCCCCCGCGCCCACATGGGGAAACACCTGGATGCACTGCTGCTCGCTCCACCACGCCCCCCAGGGGGCTGTGAGGGGGGGAGCGAGGAGCGACATCAGGGCACCCAGCACCCAGGTCACTTTCCCCACCTGGGCTGCATAAGGGGAGGGCAGGAGAGCAGCAGGGAGCAATTTCTGACACTACACAGGCAGCGCAAACACCTCTGCGCTGCAACATGGTGCCCCCCCAGACCACAGCGCCCTGGGCAGTCGCCTGGGTGGCCCACCCCCGAGGCCAACCCTGCCTTCTTTTCCCTTCCTTCCATCCCACTTTCCTCCATTTTGTAACCTGTAGTACCCTCCCAACCCACACTGGCTTTCATTCTCATTTTGTTGCTCCTTTCTTCACTACTTTATTCTTTCTTTTCTAAATAGCCACATCTCTTCTTCCCCAGTTTGGATCCAGGTCCCCTCCCAACCTGAAGCAACATTCAGTCTTTCATTCCTACCCACGCCAGAGAATCTCACCCAGCAATTCCGGCCTCAAGCCCATATCTGGTGGTTGAGCAAGAATGTATTTTTGATAAGACCAATCTTATCTTGATTTACAGACTCCAGGTGATTAGGAATCCACCAAATTCCTAAGTAAGTTGTTCCAGTCATTAATTACCCTCCCTGCTAAATAATTGCACCATTTTTGTAACCTAAATGTGTCTAGCTTCAAATTCCAGCCATTGAATCTCATTCTACCTTTGTCTACTAGTTTAAACATCCTCCTGCACTCAATTTTCACCCCATGTGGACCATGATCAAATCACCTCTTAACCTTCTCCTGGATAAACTAAACAGATGGGGCTTGTTTAGTTTGTCACTATAATGCAGGTTTTCCAAACCTGGAATCTTGTGGCTGTTTACTGAAACGCGGGGTGCCAGAACTGGGGAGGTCGGGGGGCTGGGGCATGCCTGCCCACTTCTTTACATGGGCGTAGTTTGGGGACAGAAGGCCGCATTTCCCCCTCAAACTGAACAGTGTAAGTACCAGAACAGATCCAACTAGACGCCCCCTCATTCAATAATGATTTCCCATTGAAAACTGCGTCTTGAGATTTATCAGTATGTCAATTTTTACCCATTTCATGTGGGCTGCATTGATCTTTTCAGAGTGCTAATTTTTTTTAATTGGGATGTTGTGTGGTACAAAAGTCTCATTGTATTATGTCAACAGAGTTACCTTTCTCAACATTGTGTATATACACAACAGTCAAAGTTTTGAAATCATCAAAAAAAATGTCAAGTTTGTCTGACAAAACTTTACAACCTAATTCCCACAACTTTTGATGAGGAAAGCAACTTCAAGGAGACATGTATAGAAAATGCAAAGCTTTTATTCACCACATAAAAGGAAACAACTAAACAACAACAACAAAAATCTATATATTAGTGTAAAAATCTTTTTTTTCTCTCTACTCGCCAAATATGTACAGATCCCGTTTCCAAATAACAATAGTAAAAAAGAAAAAACTACCAAGATTAGCAAGGAATTTTTTAAAAAATGAATAAAAAGCATTTGACAGGGTTGTGTGTGGGTGGAGAGAGACAAAAACATACACATCCGAATCATTAAATCTATATCACAGTCATCAATATTTACTCCTTGGAAACAAAAATATGACTGGGGATTTTGGAGAAATCTAAGGAAATTTAGTGCTCAAAGCTCATTCATTTCTCTGAGCACTTCACTCACCTTCACTTCCTTTGAGAAGCTCAGCTCAAGACTTTGCAAAGTGATTAGTGATTTCGCACCTTAAAGGCACTTGATTTTCCGAGAAGGCCCTTTAGCGTGGTGCCTCTTTCCCTCTACAAAAATGAATGCACCCTAAAACACTAGTCCCCGATGAAAATCTCGCTCCCCCAGACTCTACAGTACGGCATCTACAATTCCTTCCTCCAAGTCTCAGGAGGAAGGAAAAATTAAATTACAAACAATGATGCCCAGATCCCCAGCTGGTATCAACCAGCAGTAGTTGCATTGAGGTTGATTGGCATCAGCTGGGGATCTGGCACTGTTAGAACAAACAGTGTCTCTTGCTTTGTTAGAGCAGACCACCGGGCCCCTCTAGACCAGTCTCCCTCCTCTGAGGGTGGCCTGGTTGCCTCCAGGCCATTTCATTGTTGTCCCGTACCTTTGCCCCACCCCTCCCTTCCCCTGTCCATGTCAGTAGCAACTCCTACATCCAGTGTTCAGTTCACCCCAGTGCCATGAGACCAAGGCATTATTTTTCCCCAGTGTTAGTCCAGTCCACGCAAAATAAAAATAATACAGAAGTCTGACCCCCAAAGCCAGTTCTGCCACATCCCCTTTGGAGTCAGCCCCACTGCAGGACGGCAATGGGGAGGAAAGAAAAACACTCCAAGGGATACAGAGGGGAAGAGTAAAAGGAGGAGTAAGGAGCAAGGAAGGGTAGATGGGGAAAAAGGGAGTGAGAGACATAGAGGGGATGAGAGATGGTGACAGAGAGAGTAGGGGATAGAAAGAAAGTGAGAGAGGGATATGGAGTGTGTGTGTGTGTGTGAGAGAGAGAGAGAGAGAGAACGAAGAAAGGATGAATAGAAGAAGAAATAGATCAATAGAAAGGGTCAGGAATGCCTGGAGAGAGAAGTGAGCTAGCTAGCTAGAGTGGCAGGCAGGCTGGCCAGCCAGGGATGGACAGATTGAGGTAGGGCCAGACGCAAGGACAGATGTCCCTTAAGACGCCCCAGTAGAGAAGCTTCCAGTTCCCAAATCCAGCTCCCCACCCAAGCTCCTGCACAGACGACCCACAGCTGTAGCTGGAGAGATGCAGAATAGAAGCTGATGCCTGGGGGTCCGCATGGGCTGGCCCCCCCTCTGCTCAGCTTGGCTCACACCATGTTGAGGGCGTCCTCAGACAGGAAGCGGTGGATGTGCTGGAAGGAGGGACGGTCCTTGGACTCGCGGACCCAGCAGCGCAGCATCACCTCATAGAGAGCCAGGGGGCAGGCAGGGGGCCGGGACAGGTATATCTGGGGGGCAGAGAAGGGTCAGTGGATGCCTATCCCACAAGCCAGCCAGCTGTCCCGCCCTGGTGCCAGATCAGAGCCGGCACCCCTGTGACATACTATACCTCCATATTCACCCCTTGTATATGGTTATGATATATTTTGTGCAAACTATGCCTTGTGAGGTATCATTTGAAAAGTCATAACTTGCTGAACATCATTGTCCCATTAAAAGCTGTGTGAGTCATTGTATACTGACTTATGAGATTTTGCTACATGTTGGTTACTGAAACATATTGTGAGTTTGGGGAACGCCCACGGACTAGCTCCTCAGAAATCACAAAGGACTGTAAACAAAGGCCTTGCGCGTCACCCCAAATGTCACGAACCAGAAGGTGCGAGCAAGAAATATACAATTCACCTGAGAGATGCT